CCCGGACAGGAGCCTGGAGCCAGGTGGGGGTTGGTTTCTCCTCCCAGGATGAGAGGAGATGGACTCAGGTTGTGCCAGGGGAGGTTTTGGTTGGATATGAGGAAGAATTTCTTTCCTGCCAAGTGGTGAGGATTGGCCCAGGCTGCCCAGGGAGGTGCTGGAGTCCCCAGCCCTGGAGGGTTTGAAAATCAAGTAGATGTGGCACTAGGGGACATGGTTTGATGGTCGTGGTAGTGTTGGGTGATGGATGGACTTGGTGATCTTAGGGGTATTTCCCAACCTTAGTGATTCTCTGCCCTCTGGTGCCAGCCCCAGCAGCTGTGTTCCCCTTCAGCAGCTCCCCTTTCCCAGGCTCTGGGTGGAGTCCTGCTGGGGATCCAGCCCTGCAGAGCTGGGGGTGAGGGGGCTGGAGGCAGGGGGTGGGGCTGGGGCAGCTGCACTGGCACTCCCACCCCTCCTGGGACCCCCGTGGGGCATTAATCCCACCCTGCTGCCTCTGCCCTGGCAGGTTCTGGTTCCGTCTCTACTGGTTCCCCCTCAAGGTGCTCTATGCCACGTGCTACTCCAGCCTCCAGTCGGTCCCTAACATCCCCTTCTACTTCTTCTTCAACGCTCTGCTCCTCATCCTCACTCTGATGAACATCTACTGGTTTCTGGTGAGTGGGGGAGCTGGGCAGCCCTGCGCTGGCCTCTCCTCTGCTGCCCCTGCTGCCTGCCTGGCCTGGGGGGGCTGCAGGGGTGGAGGAGGCTTTGGAGGACCTGGGGCATGGCTTGGAGGGGAGGAGGGATGCCCATGTCTGTGCTGGGGGGCTCCTTTGGAGTTTGGATTGTCCCACGCCCTGGGGAGGGAGTGGTGGCAGAGCTGGGGCAGGCTGGAGGTGGCTGGGGTGGAAATGCTCTGGCATCCCCTGGAGCTCTGGGGAGGGGGTGAGAAGGGTGGACTGGGAGGGTTCACATCAGCAAGCTGCAGGCCAGGCTGAGCAGGGCAGGATCTGAGCTCCTGCTGGGGGGATGCTGGGGCAGTTGTGGGGGTACTGAGCCCCATCCCAGGGCTGGGACCATCCCGGAGGGATCAGCCCTGACCTTCCTGGGCTTCAGGACAGTGGGAAAGGTCCCACTTCCCACATGGGCTGGGTGGGACAAGGCTGAGCTTGAAGTCTGTGGCTGATGGTGTCTCTCTCCCCCCCAGTACATCGTCCTGTTTGTGGCCAAGGTGCTGATGGGGCAGATGCAAGAGGTGAACGACGTGCGGGAGTACGACGTGGAGGACAGCAAGAAACCCACGGTGGCCAAGAAGAAGGAGGCTGGACTGCAGCTGCCCGGGGCTCTGAAGGAAGGGTAGGTGGGCAGGGAGCATGGCACACGTGGGCAGCAGCAGTGGGCTGGGGGGAGGGATGCAGACAGACCTTCCAGGGCCCTGGAGCCACTCTCAGGGGTGTCACCACCAGGCTGGAAGAGCGAGGAGCAGGAGGTTGTGACCCGGAGTGTAACACATGGCTGCAGAGTTCAGGGAGGACTTTGTTGTCTCCATGCCCAGCCATGGTGCTGTGCCCACCCATCTTTCTGTCCCCCGGGTCCTCAGCCAGCCCTGCTCGCTGTGTGGGAGCGTTTGAGGCTGTTCTCTCTGAGCAGCATCTTCGTGGGGGGAGCACAAAGCCCAGCAGGGTCCCACAGAGCAGATGGGGCTGAGGGGGACAAACTGTGTGAGCCCATCCAGCCAGGTCTGACCTCAGAGGAGCTCTGTGGTGCTCAGGGAGGGGGGGTCTGTGTGGAGACCTCACTGCCTGCTCTGCTCCCCCTGCCAGGAGGCACCTGAAGAACGGGCTGGTGAAGGACAAGCGGTTGTGAGGGACGTGGAGCTGCTGCAGCCTGGCTGGACCTGGGCACCGACCCAGCACCCGACACTCCAACCCAGAGAACGAAAGGCACAAGGAGAACTTCTCCCCAGCACCCCTTCAGCCCCTGCCTGGCACCAGGGGGAGATGCTCCTGGCAGGATCTGGCCCCTCCTGGGGCTCGCCTGTGCCCAGGCTGCCCCTGAGCCTCCTGCTCTGCAGCCAGGCTGTGCTGGTGCAGGGGGAGGCTGGTGGCTTTGCTGCTCCAGGTAGGATTTGGAGCTGGCTTTAGGTCCCCTGGTGTTTCTTCTGCCCCTCCATCCCTCGGCTGTTCTCAGTCCCTTGGTGACTCCATAGACTCATAGAACGGGTTAGAAGGGACCTCAAAGAGCCTCTAGTTCCCACCCCCTGCCATGGGCAGGGACACCTCCCACCAGCTTCCCCTGTCTTGATTGTTGACCCTTCCCACCCAGCAGCCCACGAAGGCTCCTCTGACCCAGCATCAAACTGGGGAGGGAGATGTCCTCCCCCCTGTTGGCATCCCCAAGCCAGCTCTTCTCCAGCCACCGAGCAGGGACTGCAGAGCTGCCAGCGAGCTCCCCTGAGCCTCCCTCCTCTGGAGGGGTCACCAAGGTGGAGCTGCCCCCCTGGATCTGGAGGCACAGCACGGTCCCCACGAGCAGCTCTGCCTGGGAGGCCAGCCCAGGAGCATTGTCCCAGCCTCCTGCCTGGCTGGGTGAGGGCCAGGAGGCTCAGTTTGCTTCAACAGCCAGTCCCAGTCCTGCAGGGTCCCCAGCTGGGGGTCCCTCAGCTCCCCCAGCCAGGTCTGCTTGCTCAAGTGAAGAACAAACCGTTTCTGCTCCCTGGGGTGGTTTTCCAGGTGGCACCAGCCCCTGAGCCCTGCAGGGTCCTGAAGCTGGGCTGGTGTCTCTGCTGGGGACCCCTCTGGATTTTACACCCCTCAGACCAAGCCTGTGCCAGGGCTCCTCCAGCAGGACCAGGACCCACAGCTCCTGCATCCTCCCTGGCAAGCAGAGGGCAACAGGCAGCAGAGGGGGCAGATCAGGGCATTAATTCCAGGCAACTGTGGTTTTTGTTGGGTTTTTTAATTTCTTCTTGTTTGGTCTGTCCTGCTGTTCACACATACTGGTGTGTCTCAGTGCTTCAGTTCCTTGGCTTTCAAATGGGACTTGCAGGAAGGTGGAAGTGAAGGGAATTTCTATCCCAGGCCTCATTCTGCTGGTTCCTAGCAGAGCTGGGGCAGAAATGGTGCCGAGCTGGGGTCAGCTGGGGTGTGTGGAAACTGAATTTGGTAGTACAGGCTTGGCCAGGCTTTGATGTTTAGGTGGCTGACTCGTTGGTCGACCCTCTTCGTGTGTGACCTTGGGTGTGGGGAGCCCCTGGGGCTCCCTGTGCCTGCCTGCAGGGCCTGGCTGCTGGGGGTGGCTGCTGCTGGCTTTTTGGGCTGGCCCTGGGGCTGTGTGTCGTGAGGGCAGGGCACTGTGTGATGGTTTGGTGTGCTGGGAGTTGATGGACTGAAGAGAAAAGTGTTGGATGCTGGGGTTGAAAAGAAGAAAAAGAATTTGGTTTGGGAGGAAGGAGCAGGAGGAGCCTTGGATCTGTGCTTCCCCCTGGATCTGGGTGGGATGTCTGCAGGGGGTGAGAGCAGCCTCTTCCCTGCTTCCCTGGACTTTGTGGTTGGACCTGGATGGCGTGGAGAGGTGGGAGAGGTGGTAGGAGCTGAGGAAGGAGGGCAGCTGCCCTCAAAGGGTTAACAGGTCGCAGGGAGCCTGGAGGGACCGCTCACACCCTCTGCCCAATCCTGGGCATCCCTCTGTGCTAATTGAGCACGAAGCAGATCAAAGGCTCCAATCAGGCCATCAGCACCCCCCTGTCCTGGGTGCCCAGCCCGGGCAGCTCTTTGTCTGCAGGGGCTGAGCTGAGATGTGGCTGCTCCCCAGCCTCGGAGCCACCCTCGCCTGGGCCCTCCTCAGCCTGGCCCTGCCCATGGAGCTGAGTCTGCAGGAGAGTTTGCTGTTAAAATCCTTGGGTTTGAGCACCAAGCCCAGCCCGAAAAGCCCCGTTCCTGTGCCCTCCGTGCTCTGGAGGATCTTCCAGAAGAGAAAGATGCTGCCTCCCACAGACAAAGACCTGGCGGATGCCTGTAGGGTGGAGGAATTTCATGTCCCTGGGAACATCATCCGTGTCTTCGCCGACCAAGGTACAGGGACACTGCTCTGGGTCCTGGCTTTTGAAAGCCCCTCTGATGCCTGGGCTGGGGGACTTGGCTCCCCTCTTGCCTTTTCTGTCTCTTGGGGGTAGGTAGGAGGGGGTGAGGAAGGACAGAACAGTGCCCAGGGTTGGTCTGCAGTAAATTCAGGTCCCTTTGGATGTTGTAGATAATTATTTACAGTTTAGAAATGAGTCAGTAAGCCCAGGCAGGGGGTGAGGGGGTGGAGCTCTCTGGAGCTCTGTCCTGGAGTCACCCAAAGCAGGACAGAGATGTTGGTTTGCCCCCAGGTGACTGCTGGACCTGCTGGGGCTGGAGGGGACTCCTTGCTGGGG